AGTAAAAAAAAATATATATATATATATATATATATTTTTTTTTACTTGTCATATGTCTTACACAAGACACCGTGGAAGCATAAAGAATGACATGTTTGACTATCAAAGTCTTTAGCCCTAGATAGTTTAAATTTTCTAGTTTCAACAACTGGATATTTGCTTGAGGCTTAACTTTTAGTCTGCCTGTCTTGTTAGAAGTTTTTCTAATGAGCGAAAGACACAGGCTCGTGGTTACCATGACAACTACATGCCATTGGCAACAGCTTTATCCTTTTTGGGCCTATTTACACTTCAAAGGTTAATACTTTATGGAAGATTACTAAATTATGCTGTAATTTCACGCAGTACCTGCAATGGCACCTCTCAATTTTCGGAACTTTTCTAGTTGGATTCAACAATTTGACATGTAAATATGTGGCTCTACAGCTTTTGACATGAATGTGTGAAATAGACTAGCCAAATGAATTCTGCTACCAAATGTTTTTGTAATTTTTAGAGTTTTATAACATTAGGATGTTGCTGCACTGGAGACAAATGTAAAGTTGTGGATTGTTCTTGTGTTAAATAATGATGCATGTAATGCAACTGGTAGGTGGCCATATTGTACATAGTAATGCATCCTTTTCTTCTTTCATATTTATAACTCTTTTTTTAGGCCTACTTGTCCTTTTGTTAGATGACTCTTTATAAAAGCATGCTATGATTTTTCATTTTATACTAAAAGAACTTTGTTTTTATATTTTACCCCAAATAAACCACTGAAAAACATGTGCCTCAGAAACATTCTCATCATTGACAGAGACAGTGCTTACCTGATTAGCATCACCTTGTAAATATTTTGGTCAAGAACACATTTTTTGTTGTTTACTGTATAATTTACTTATTTCTAGTGATTTAAACGGTCATCAGATATGCTACATGTAGTGTATATACGCCAGTTTAGACGCACTATGCTGCACACATAACGATGTATAATGTAAGAAAAGTGGTTGTGAATAAGGAGCACATGCACTGAAGTTACATTTTTTCAGTCTGTCAATAAATACCTACCTGAACCTTCTGATGGTGTGTCTTTCATTGCTCATGAGAATTACATTTGTTTGAAAATCACTGAACAAATATGGAAAAATTAAAATATTTTTCTGTTCATAAACAGTTCAGGCAAGACAGCAGCTTTAAATTTTTTTTAAATTATTTCGTGCAAAACTGAAGCTGCTGAAGTCTTTGTGAGAAAAAAAAAACATGTTTTACTTAGAAATAACAAGACAGGCTGTGCTGTATTTTTGTAAAACAACAAAATACAGCTGGTGGACAGATATAAAACTGCACATCTGTCTTCATTTTTTTTGTTGTTTTCTTGTGAAAGAGAAGGACTGTGTGTGTTGAGCAACGCTTTGTTGACGGCCTGTTTTTACTACAGCTCCAAATGAAGAACAAAATAATGTTTTAGAAACGTTTAAAGGCATTTCTGCCACCGTTATAGCAACATGGTCAAAACTAGACGGAAAACATGAAATTGTGCCTCCCTGCTGGAAAATAAACGTTAAGCATTGAGATGCTCTTGTTTCACCTCACAGTTAAAATCTTAAAGTGCTTTGAGTGAAATCACTGAACAGAAAACAATTTTGCTTCTCATGCAGAATAACCCAGAAAATGAGGGGTGAGTGGGAGGGGGGCAGTGGTAATCACGTGTATGAGCAGAGATTTAAAGCCTTTTGGATTACCTCCGCTCGTCTCAATCTGTTATGTAGGTCTGTCTGGCGGGCGCTCTCGTCCGGCCCAGCCTGGCCTGTTATATTATCTATTTTAATAGAACTGTTCGCTCTCATTGGACAGAAAGCCAAAGAAGCAGATTAAAGTGTGTACACGCCACGCCCCCCCCCACACACACACACACACACTCTTTGGCGTGCACACACCACAGAGAAAACCGTGTGAAAATAGTTTCACTCCTCTGCTCAGGTGGTGGAGAAAATATAAAATCTGAGCACTGAACAGAAGAGCTGCATCTTCAGCTGGTTTTATTTTGAAAAGCCCAAATGGAGTCTAAGTGTATTTGATTGTATTTGTTTATTTATTACTCACATTGCACATTTTACTTAAACTGAAGATAAGTGAGTGTTTGCTTTTATAAAGTGTTTTAGGATGAATAGATTCAACTCAGTTTTTCCAGCTTTTGACCTGAATGAACCGTGGAAGTCTGCAGAAGGAAGTAAACTTTCAATAAAACGATAAACAAATGACAAGAGAGAAAACATTTTACTGGCAGAGGTGACAATTTAGTCATATTTACCATTATCACCCACTGCCAAGAACCGTATATAAATGGAAATTTACCTGCCTGTCTTTTAGCAAAATACAAAAAAAATATGCAAAACACAAAATGATTATAACTGTTTGTTTACAGATATCAAGCTTAAGATTTTCTGACAGTACAAAACACTCTGAGTGCAAACAGACTGGACAAAATCTTCATCTTAAACCTTGACAGGACAATATGCAGTTCTTTAAATGCCACTTTGATTTAGAAAAACTGTTACAGACGTCCAAAAACTTGAAGACCTGTGATATAATGCACGATAGGACATTGTGGAAAAACACCAAGAAGTTGCGTCTGCATCTTATATTCTTTTTTAACACAATATTAACATATATACATTTTTTTTCTTTCTTCTAAGTCGACTGATTACATTTGTTTAGGTTAACTGAAAACCTAAATATGTTATTGATGATGTTTTCTTCATAAAATATTTTCTTTTTGTTTTGTTCTACACACTTATCATATCTAGTAGAGCCCGAGAGACATTCGATACGAAGCTTTTGAGATTGTTTTTTTTAAATTAAAGCTTAAAAACTCAAGTTTGCATTTAAAAATTTATATATATTTTATCCGTGTGTTTACATAAAAGTAAGTTTTCACAATTTACATATGCTGAGCCATTGTTTACTGTAAAGATAAATAAAATGTTGCATTGCAAGTTTTATTTTTTTAACATTTACATTCTTTAAAATCATTCTAAAGAGAAAAGTTTGATGTACCCAAAATATCACCAGTGAAACTATATCGAATAACCTACACACCATCACACCATGCAGTGTGTCCCTAAAAAAAAAAAAGAGGAAAATTAAGAAGATGAAGAAAGGAAAATAATCATATAATGATCCAAGAAGCAATCTGTGATCAAACAAGAAATAAACAAAAGTCAAAAAAGAAAAAATAATTCCAGCAAATATCTGACATGGAACTTACAAATGTTTCCTCCTCCATCTGGTTCAACTCATTAAGGCAAATGTTTCAATTAATTTCACTTGGATAATAATATTAATAATAATATAACAACAACAATAATAACAACAATATAACAATAATAACAACAATAATAATATAATAATAACATTAATAATAATAAAAGGCCTGTCTAGCTTTGTCATATTTGACATTTATGTGAATGCAGCAAACAAAAATGGAACAATTGTGTTTTTATGACCAGAAGTTGGTGACAAAGTGATTTATGTTTGAATGATTAAACAGTCACAATCAGTATCCTTTATATATATAAAATGAAAACTTTAGCCAGGTCAAGTACAAGTACAGAATAAAAAAAAAAAAAAAAAATCTAATTAAAAACGAGCCAATGTGATTGCATCGTTCATGGCAAGTTTTCTCAAACTTTGTCTGGATGCATGCTCAATAATCCAGGTAGAATAATCTAAGAAGGTTAAGGCAGGTCCTCTGGGTGGTTTCTTCTTGTTGAATTAAAAAATATATATATATATATATATATATATATATCCATCCATCCATCCATCCATTATCTTTACCCGTTTGTTCCATTTTGGGTCACGGGGGTCGCTGGTGCCCATGTCCAGCAATC